GGGTCATACAATGGAAGTGACGCCAAAGTGGAACTCCCTGATCATCTTTATGTGAGCGGAAAATGTGAAACAAACAACCAAGTGGCCAAGTTATTGTAAAATCAAGGTGTACAGGGGGAATAATTGATGGGATTAAGAGTGGTATTGTTGTTTTAAATGTCATAATAAATGATAATTTTTTGTTTTACAGGAAATAAGTGTGATGTGGACCAATCAGTGAAACTCACCTGTACAAATAAGGGGGAGGAGAATGTGTAACTGAATAAGGGGGAAATGGAGACGTCACATCTCCCAGAATACACCTGGAAAAATGAAGGTTTTTAAGATGTGTTGTAGAAATATAACAAATTTGTTAAAGGCTTAAAAGATCAATTAAAATGTCATACAACAGGTAGAGATATCATTTAAATCCCAGTGAAAGAAGTGGTGATTCTGTGTCATCGTTGCTCTGTGAATAGATCATTCAGAGCAAGGTTGTTGCAGGTCATGACAAGACTCCATGGATGAAAATGATATATAAAATATAGTGTATGAAAGAAAAAGACTGTTTCCAGGGCAAAACAACATGTATGATGTTGTTTTGCCAGATGAAATGGTGCATAGCTGCAGCAGTACCGCACACAGGTGTGAGTTTGCACTTTTTTTCCCGTGGCTAGAAGGGGAAGAGCTGCCGGGACTGAGTGTTTCTTCATATTATGTGTGTAACCCACAGTAGCAATGCTATGTTTACATGCAGACATCACAAAAGAGCAGTCGGCGAGGGCCTTTTCAGGGATGTTTGTGACCGTACATCACGGTGACGTGAAATTTATTTTATTATTTAGAAAATGTTATTAATGTTATCCAAAAACTAGTGCTGGGCATAAACAAAAAAATTTAATCACGATTAATCACAAGATATCTTTGCAATTAATCACGACAATATTTATTAATATTATAATAATTACTTTACTATGGTTAAATGTGTATTTTTGTACTGTATGAGCTTAAGTGACCTCCCTTTCCTAATCCAAAGTGTTCAGTATGATGTTGGTCCACCCTTTGCAGCTAGAACAGCTTCAACTCTTCTGGAAGGCTGCCCACAAGGTTTAGGAGTGTTTGTGGGGATTTTTGACCATTCTTCCAGAAGCACATCTGTGAGGTCACATCCTGATGTTGGACAGAAGCCTGGCTCTCATTGTCTGCTCTAATTCATCCATCAGGTTGAGGTCAGGACTCTGTGCAGGTCAGTCAAGT